ATGTGTGGGGCCGGGGATTATATAAAGGGAAAAGACTAAAGTAGGAGTAAAATATTAAAAATATACCAAAATAGGAATTTCATGTTTTTATTCTCGAAATATGAGTTAAAATACAATTACATTACCAATCATGACCATGTACATTACCAAAAAGTATTGTAAAATGCACATGTACAACGCCACATTACCACAGTGCGAATTTCTATTTTGATATTTTTTCTCTATGTTTTACTCCTATTTAGGATGATATCTTTTATATAAACTATATTTTCTAGATGGCATATCATATTACAATTATATGCTCACTACATCAATATTAAATGATACTCCCCCCGTCCCAAAAAGTCCGACACGTTTCAAAAAAACTGTGTCCCGTAAAGTCCTTACATTTATATTATAAACCACTTTTACCCCTTACTTTTTCATACCCTACCTATCACATCATACCTTTTTCCTAATAATTTACCCATCACATCCTACTTTTACCCATCACATCAAGGGTATTTTTGGAAAATCAACAGCAAAATATTCTTCCCTTAATTTCCCAAAAAGTCAATATGTACCAATCTTTTTGGGACGGAAAGAATATATATTTAGGAAATAAGGAGTGAACAACTTTGGGGCATTTGCAAATAGAATGTCATGTTAGTAGGATTTGTAGCACGAATATTACGATTTCTACATTTCTAACATGATTAGCAAATGATATACGCCCTTTAATCAACCTAATCTCTCTCTCTCTAATACCGAGTAGAATTTAGAATGGGTATGGACAACCGGATTGAGCTATAAGATACATGAGTTGAACTACGTTAAAAGATTAAATCCAATTGATTAGTTAATTCAACTCAAGAGCTTATATACCGATTATTTTGCTCTTGAACTACCGATGTGGGATGACACTCTAACACTCCTCTTCAAGTGGACAATCGGGCCATTTTGAATCTACCCGGTTGACCACTTGCAAATAAACTCTCATTCCCTTGATTTTTTTAGCACTAACACCTAAAGGACCACGAGCCACTGGGTATGGACTTCCAGACGAGCAATCGTGTTAAACGGGTCACAGGCCGTTGAAACATACTCCATACGGACAACTGGGTTAAAGACTAACGAGTCGCTAAGAATGAACGTCTAGATAGACATCTTGACAAACGGGGTGGGCTAAAACCTGCTCCGATACCATCATAGAATTTAGTATGGGGTATGGACAACTGGATTGGGCTATAAGACACTTGGGCTAAACCACATTAAAATATTGAATCCAATCGATTAGTTAGTTCAACTCATGAGCTTATATACCGATTATTTTGCTCTTGGTGGGATCTTTCTCTCTCTCTCCATACTGCTTCCCTATCATCGGAACCCTTCTCTTTTCCGACCTATCTTCCCCTCTTCTTATGAAATAAAATCACTAATAATTGTGATTCGCAACCCTTCAAGCTATTAAGCGATAGCGATGGGGAAAGGCTTTTTACCTCGCCAACCCCAACTTGTCTTAAACCTGTGATCCCTGATATGACTCTGCCGAGAGCAGATCGGGTACCTCTCATACATATATATATCCAACATGATCGTACCGTAAAAAGTATCTTAGGGGAGACCATTTTCCCTTGGAGGATGAAGGAGGCTATGTCGAAGACAAAGGGGAAGATGAGGAATCATTTACTTCAGAGTAGATCTTGGAGATGTCTAATAAAGAAATCGTTTTTCTGAGTCCTATAGATGAGGCTAAAGTACTGCGATTCAGACTGAGAATTGTCTCCTTGCTCTTTATATTCACATTCCAATTAGTATTTGCATGTCCAAGTATATATAATGTTTATTGAATTGGCAAACTTATGATGCAAAAAAATGTTTTCTTGGTGATTGGAAATCTATAAGCTATACTTGCCCTTTAGGTATATTGTAATGTCACCCCTATTGGTTGGAGAATTACAAAACTCAATACCTCTATTGGTCTGGTCTACCCTTTATTTCTTCTCCTGATAAAAGGTTTGTGGTGAAAATATGAGTTGTTTTCTTTATTCTTTGTACTATGCCGACTTCATTGAAATGTGTACTTCACTCTAAACTTGGCCTTTTGTTCTTAATGAAATCTGAAAGAACAGATGGTATAGTTGCCTATTTCTTCTTCATAAAATAAGTGTTACACATGATTTACATGCCTATTTCTTCTTGATAAAGCAGATGCTACACTTGATTTACTTGCATATTTCTTATTCATAAAAACAAATGCTACACTTGATTTACTAGCCTATTTCTGATTCATAAAAATAGATGTTACACTTGATTTACTTGCCTAATCGTAGTATATATCTGTTCATATTATATATTCTCAACTTAGTGACGTGCAAAGAGCCTATGCCTCTCCACCTCTACTGGGATTTGAATCTAGATGAACTTCCCCACGAATCTTGGGGAGTGGACTTCCTACCACTCAAGCTAGGAAAGAAATTCTACAAACCAGATATATAATCACCCAAATTTAAGTTTATTAAAACTTATACCAAGTATAACCAAGAAGAAATTAAAATCATATAAAGAAAAAAAAGGAAACATAGGGGGGCGTTGTGTGGTGCAAAAGACAAAAAAACGTACAGAAACGGAAAGCATGGGACTCTCGTCACCTTCCCAAAGAAAGGTTGAAAAGGATAAGAACAAGTGCACAGAAGCCTTTTGCCATCTGTCTTTCATGCATGCACTACGTACCTACATACATACATGACGACGCTTCCACCATCCATATATATAATGATGAGTACTATCATCCCATGCATGCATTAATTCATCCATCCATGATCCTATGCCTATGAGATCCATCAACATTGCAAATTGCAATAGGAACATTTTGGATCCAAATTTAGAGTGGTAAATTTTAGAAATAATAGCTTCTTTTCAAGTTTCACCAAAGTTCAAGTGACATTGAAAATACTTGGCTTTAATAATAGGTTCTCCATTTAACTTTCTGATAATTGACCTTTAAATTAAATTACTCTCTCTGTCCCAACTTAAATCAATTTAAATCGCATGTTTCGGTTTACGATGTTTGACTGAATTTATTTTAAAATCATGTTATATGTAAAATGGTGTAGAATTAAAAAATAAAAATTACATATCTAAGAACTACTCCCTCCGTCCCACTGTCTTTGTCCACTTACTTTTTGGCACACCATCCAATGCACTTCTTTAATCCATTTTATCTTGTATTTTGTATATTAAAAAATTATAGAAATTATACTCCCTCCGTCCCATGAAACCTTTCTCCTTTCTTTTTTTATCCGTCCCACAAAACACTTCTCATTTCTATTAAAAAGTCACTTTTACCCCTTACTTTTTCATACCCTAACTATCACATCATACCTTTTTACTAATAATCTATCCATCAAATCATACTTTTACCCATCACATCAAAGGACATTTTTGGAAATTCAATACCAAAATACACTCCCCTTAAATCCCTCCTAAAAAGCAAAAGTCCCATGTTTTATGGGAAGGAGAGAGTATATTAATAATCTATATGTTAAGACAAATCAAACAAGATCACACATGACTATATTTAGGTTTACACATTGAGAGAATTTGATGAGTCAAAGTGCTTAGATGAACAGTTCCAAAAATCAAAAGTGGACAAAGACAGTGGGATGGAGGTAGTATATCATAAGATTTACAAAATTAACAGTGACATGACTATATTATTTTATCAAATAACTAACAAAAATAGAAAAGGAAAATGAATAAAGTTTGACCATGTAAATAATAAACTGACAATTTAATTTGGGACGGATAGAGTAAATTCCAACAGACATCCTTCAAAAATTAAGTTTATATCACATTTAGACACTAATAAAATTAAGAGGAATTTAGTTAAATAGCATTAAAACATAATGACTTTCTCTAAATAGCACTACATGTGTTTTTCTTCCAGATGTAGTACTTTTAGTCATTATGCATTAGTCATTATTCAAGTAAATATTACTGCCTCCGTCCCATTTTATAACGCCTGTTTCGGTTTACAATGTTTGACTGAAATTATTTTCAAACCATTTTATATGACAAATGGTATAGAATTAAAAAATAAAAATTACATAATAAAAAACTACATCAAAAGATCTACAAAACTAGTAGTGACAATAATATTTTATTTTATCAAATTGCTAACGAAAATAGAGAAAGAAAGTGAATGAAGTTTGACCCTGTGAATAGTAAACAGACATTATAATTTGGGACGGAGGGAGTAATCATCACTGGACATTATGGACATTATTAAATGTTATATAGAGAATAAAACATTTTAAAAGCTAATTAGAGAAATGACTTAAGTTTTAGTGCTATTTAGTGCAAATATTTCTAAAATTAAAATCATAAAAAAGATAAATTATACTGTGTATCTTGTTTTATATACATATTGTTTTATATCACATCATACTCTATATTTGTTTACTTCTAATCTAATCGTCACATTCAAGTGCAATTTGGGTAAGTGGAGGAAAAAATATCCCCTCTTAAGTTCGTAGAAAAGTCAAATATCCCCCTCTAACTCCTCTAATCATCACATTCAAGGGAGTGAAATAGTTTTAAAACATAGAAGATCACCAACATTAGAAAAGGCACCTATTCTAAAACAACATTTGAGGAATTCACCCTTTAGTTTTTATTGCAGCCCGTTTTTGTCCAAGCATTTTTTTTAACAATACTCAAAGTACTCTTTAAAGAAACAACCTATTTGCTCTCTGTTTTAGTTAGAGACTTTTCATGTTTCTCGTGAACTCTAGTTGTACTCTTCAACCCCTCGAGTGCTTTTCTAAAATTTGTAAGCTATAATTTATACTCCGTACTATTTATTTCTGTATCAACTTATAAATAAAATGATTTTAAAAGAAATACCAGTAAAACTTTACACATTGGTCAAAATGAGATGATAATTCTGCAACGGAGGGAGTATAAATACTCCAATAAAAGACAATTATGAAATCATTTAAAACAAGAAATTCGAAATGAAGCACAAGGCAGAGATGCCGATAAAAGAGCATTTTCACAAGTAATTTTGCATGACTTTGCACACCCAATGTTAAAGATGACAGTGCTACAAACGAACATTTTGACGATATTCCAAGGAAAAATCTTTCTTTTCCGAAGGAATGAACAAAGGAAACCAGTAAAAGAAAAATAAATCATTGGGATTTCTGAACAATGAAAAGCCTTCACCAACCACAATATGCTTAACACCCCACTCCTTCCATTCAAAAAATTAAAAAATAAATAAAATAGAATACAAGAACCCATAAAATTTTGGAATCATCCTAACGTGAACGAGCCCGGCTATTTTCGTCATTTCTAACTGGGTAGAAATATGGATGAGCCTGCATTAATGAACATGGATGATAAATGCATCATGATTGATTATCAAAATTCTCTTTAGTCTTAACCAAGTATTCTGGTGTAAGATTTTACCATGGCTTCTTTTGCAGTTGGCCTTTCTTGATGATCATAACGCAGCAGCTTGTCCACAAAGTCAATGGCCTACAATAAAAGGGGGGGAACAAAATGTGCATTTCAGAGGAATAAAACATACATTTACTTGAACAAATGTTGAAAGCTTCCTTCTTAGGAATGCACATTTGAGTATGCGGGTGTTTCTCTGTGCGGGTGTTTATTGGCTTATTGTTGATAAGCAGTTCTTAACTTATAACCTGGTTATAAGTTAAATATTCTTTTGTAGAAGAGAAATGACTTAAATGATAGATAAGTCATTTTGAAATATTCATAAATGGTGTGTAAGAGTTAGGTAAATAATCTAGTTAAAACGAGGTTTTGAAAAAACTAGCTTAAAAATAAGTAAGAGTAAGGGCGTAAGACTTAGTTATTCTTTCTGGCTTATAAGCAAGCTGCTTATAAGTCGGCTTATAAGCAAAAATATGTCATCAACTAACTATTTTGACCAGCTTATAAGCACATGGAAACACCCAGTATGACATATTCTTATTTTTTTGTGTTGAAGAATGTCTAACTGCAAATGTTGGATGCATGGTTATCATGGTACATCTGGATGTATCATAAAAAGCACTGTCCTACCTCAGGGACAGCCACATGTTGATTTTCAGAGTTAATGAACCTTGACCATGGCTTCCTGCTATGCCTGAAACAAAAAACACGGGTATACACTACGCATGCAAAAAAACAAAACGTAGTAATTCTGTGTGTAGGATACACATTACAAACCTTCCTACAAGGGCTGAAAAGTTTGGATCTAATTCCAAACGATACTTGGTTAGGTAAGCATTTAGTTCAGCCGTCCCTAATACCTGCAAATCAGTTGAAATTTAAGATCAAGGGAGGTTTCCACATGCAAGAACTAAGAATTTCATCTCCATTATCCTTGAAAAGTTGGAAAAGAACACACCCAGCAACACAAGCCCAAATCAGCTCTAATAATAAATTAAAAACATATCCCAGCAATCGTTTACGATGAGTTGAGAAATTAAATGAAAGTAAAAATAATTTAACATGGATAAAAGAAAAAGGTCAAGGCAGTGTATGCACCTTAGCGATCTTAACAAGCTGGTCATAATTGTCTTGTCCGTAGAAGAATGGCTCTTTCCGGAAGATCTATATGGACAATAGAAGAACTAAATCATAAATAAGCATATCATCGTAACATGTCTAATAAACTACACTGGTCAAAGCTACATTCATGATCAATGCTCCAATGAACTTTAACGTTGAACTATAAACAAGCTAGTACTGCTTCCACTGTACAATATTCTCCCCCTTTGACTTGGCACGTTTATTAACAACTAAAATTGTGTGGTTGAGGTTTATATAGAAATGAGAGAAACAATATTAATCATGGGATCTTTTCTTAAAATGAAACGAGAAAAAATGGGATAGCCGAAAGAGAAAAACTTATGGGACAAAAGGAGTATTAAGTATAAGTGTCCTCACCATTCCTGCAAACATGCAGCCAAGGCTCCACATATCCAATGAGTAGTCATAATCTTGTAGATCAACAAGAAGTTCAGGGCCTTTAAAATACCTGTGAACCATGAAGTTCAAAAAAAGCATTATGATGTTACAGTAAAGAGTTACAATAACAAAACGCCTATCTGAACTTAGACTAAGATGTGAATTTTGTATGCAGCTATGTTCTAAAGAGGATTGTTAAATTGAACATCTGGTCTAAGGTTTTATGATGGGCTTTGGTGATTTCAATCAGAAAACTAATAAGCCTAAAAAAGAAACTTATGACCCTACCACACCTCATTCATGAAAGGCATAATCGCTTAAGCCTTACAACATGCAATCGCAGCTCTAAATGTTGCTAATCAAGTTTATGAAAGTCTCACAAACATCATACATAGCCCCCTCTTTCACAAAGGGAAGAAAAGAGTGTTAGCATTGGTGCAGCATCTCCTTCCAGAGTTCCAAGGTGTGTTTCAGGATGACGAGGAATTGCATGATCTGTCGCAGGTTTTTGTGCTATAATTAGCAAAGTTTGTTTGACTTGGAGTACAACAACAACTAACCCAGTAGAATCCCACAAAAGTAGGGTCTAGGGATGTGTACACTGAAGACACTTTCCAAGTAACCCCCAATTCAAGCAACAAAGAAGACACAGCACAATCAAGGAAGCAAAAAGAAAGCTAAGGGTGAAGAAAAGTGCTAAGAGACAAAAACACACAAACTGCTACTAGCAACTAGACCAAGAACAAAGAAAGCACACAAAGAGGAGCAAAAACTGCAACCAATGCCCAGACGACTACCCAACTTTCCTAGTCCTAGATCTCTAGACACTCTTACCTAATGTCATACTCGGTAAGGGCCAAAAGTTTTAGATCCTGTTTAATCACATCCTTTCAACTCTTCCAAGGTTTACCCTTTTCCCCGCCCCCGCCCAATACCGTAAGCCTCTCGCATCTAAGCATATGGGCCAATTTGCCACTTCACATGCCCAAACTACCTCAACCTAGCTTGTTGAGGCTTATCCTCCACAGGAGCCACTCTCACCTGCCACCGGATAACCTCATTTTGAATCATATCCAACCTCGTCTGTCAACACATCCACCACAGCATCCGAATCTTTACAGCAGTTGACGAACGTACCACCTGCACTCTGCTCTTTGTTGAAACGCTTAGTTTCATGTTAGTTTCTGCCCATGATCATTTCCCTTATTGATTTGCTTGGTCCCTATTTTGTACTTAAATTGGTCCCATCTTTGGGTCTTTTGTTCTCTTCGTGGAGATGACGAGATGTTTCCTAGCTTTTCTAGGTTTGTGTTTTTCAGATATAGAGATCTGTGAAGTTATATGGCTATGTCTTCACTCTATGTCCTATAAGGCTTAGTCTATACTTCCAGAATCACTCCTCCACCAAGATAACCATCAGTGCGTTAGCGGATTCATCCTATTGAAAGCTCATTTTGCAGTAGGTGTCTGGAACACATGCAGAAATGTCTACCTACATAGGCTAAGTCTCTTATTGGAGCAAGTTACCCATAAAATGCATCGTGAAGAAAACATGACATTTGGATGTTACAAACTCAAACATAGGTCGTTTCGAATAGAAGTAATACCAGTACAAAAACACATAATACTTATCTGCTCTTGTTGTTCCTCTTGTACTTTAATATCCGCAACAAAAAATTACAGGGATAGAAAACGGCATTTGTAAAAATAACAGGATGTGGGTACGACAAGGATACCGCAACAAAAAAATAAAAAAACACTAAAATTTTAACAAATAAGCAGTACAAAAATTAAAAAAAAATACTCAGTGACCAAAAGCATTACAGAAATAGAAAATTAACAAAATTGCTTTATACAGATTATGTAGTAAAGCCTAAAAACTAAAGTTACATGGGCACTGTACTAATCAAGAATACTGCGGAAGAAAAATTAAAGCTACACGGGCAGTCGGCATTGTGGTAAAACTAAAGCGGGCAAATTGAATGCAGACCAAAATTATTTGAATAATTAAAATCAAAATCTTAACACAAGGATGAACGCAAAATAGAACGAGAATTCAGGTGGAAAAAACACATGGAATACGGTGTACAGGTCTTCGTGTACACAAGTCTCACCGAACACTCCGGGAGGGTGTTATATAAAAAAGCTTCATAATTTCTATCGCTCGCCACATCACACTAATGGGCTTGTAATACGCCCAAAAAATTAATTGGGTCGCAAGGTCAAAACATTTATCCGTACCTGTTACACTACCTACGCATTGTTTATGTCTCGCTAGTGGTCACAATTAATCCCATCCATCGACGGCGGTTTTGGTTTCTCCCGTCGCCACCCCCCTCCCCCCACCGTGGTTCCCCCGTCCCCGCGACATCTCTGGGACATTGAACGGCACCTATCATGTGAACCTTTGCAACTTAGGACTTCTTCATATGTGTTCCTGAACTCCATGAAGTAGGTCATGAGAGGCCATCCTTCATTTCTGCACTGTAAAAAGCTTAACACACCATACATATGAGTACGAGGATCTGAAAGAACAGTCTCGAACCATCACGAGGCCATATGTTATTGGCAGGCCTCATCTTTTTGGATGATTGTTCCGTCAGTAATCATACTTATGAGCCCTATGGTGGCAGCATTTGATTATTTTGCTTCACACTAGAAAACATTGGCTCCCTCATAAACAGTATGTGTATATGATTTTGGAAGTAACAGGTACAACCTCATAAACAACCACAGGTTTGTTCAGGATTTCAAAAACTTCAGGGCTGGATTCGGCATCTGAGTAAGGCATATTTACTTCCAAAATGCAAGAGACCTTACTCTAGTTTTTACAATAAAAGTTGTTCAGTTTTAAGGTAAAAAAAGGGGAAAGTGCATACCTTGCACAAAAAATGTACACAGTACAGAACAAAGAACAAACTTCAAGACAAAAGATTATATTCCAGAGTAGTTATGAAACGACGTATACCAAATGATTGATGAGGTTAAAGAGAGGCTGATGGTGCTCCTACCAATCAGAATTCTGGACAGAAATTGGGTCGCATTTGCTGGCGCATCAAACACGGATGGCGGAAGGTGGTGGCAGGGGTGGCAGGTGAAGTAGCAATCAGATTTTACCTGCAGAGCTTGTGCTAGGGTTGTGAGGGTGCTCATGTGGTGTCAGACTGCGTAGGAGTAGCCATAAAAAATTTAGTAAGTTGGGATACAGACTTGCACAGGTTTGAATCGTTCTCGATGTTTTAAAGGATGCTCTGACAAGGCTAATGTTTTGAAACTACCAAATATGACTCTAATATCGTGGCAAGTGACTAAACACTCAATTTTCACTTTTTTCCACCTTTCCAAAAGCAATTAAGGCACACATGCTTGATGTATCTATGAGGGGGGAAAGCAGTGCCAAAAGAAGACATTCCTCTGTAAAATTAAATCTACAGATCAGCACAGCACATAAGACCTTCTAAACCAAGTTCCTTTGGTATCCACATGAAAATGATGAACGAACAAAAACATTTAGAGCTATGAAGCACTAATAGTTTTAGAAAAGTGAAGCATTTGTCAGACACGGGACACACCGTACAACTGATTGCATTAATGATGTCCACTTTGTCTTATCATTATTAAGTTTTAAGACATGGGGAAAGAGAAGCCTAAGCCCGTAAGATGATTGCTCTAATAAACAGACCATAACTGAAACTCTCCAGCATAAGTTTGTGACAGAATAAAGTGCCTCTAACGCCATTTAAAAAAAATGGCTGATGGCAAGTAGCCAACCAAATAAATGAGCTAAATAAAACAAGAACAGAAAAAAAACAAACCTAGAAGCCACACGGACATTATATTCTTTCCCGGGGTGGTAAAACTCTGCAAGTCCCCAATCTATTAGCCAAAGTTTCCTCTTCTCGTGATCAATAAGGACATTATGAGGCTTCACATCGCGGTGCATGATACCTTGAGAATGACAGTAATCTAATGCCTACTCATAGAGATGATACAAAGGTAAATGTTTTAGAATTCATGTTTATGTTAAAATACAATGCCAATACAAGGCCAATTTAAAAGTGAAAAGGAAACATAAACCCCAGCACTAGTTCAAAACATACTCACACAAATGTTGGAATTCAAAGTATGTGCATTCCATATCATTGTACCAATACATGCACTAACAAACACCTTTAAAAATCGAGTTGTTTATTCTGCTTAAGCAGTAAAATTTTAAGTAAAATGAACTTAATATGTATAATCGTTGCTAGGATTGGCAATCACAAGTAAAACAAAAAACAAAAAAAATCAACTAGCCAGATGTTTCTTTTCAAAACCAACCCTAACATTTGGAAATAACCCCTCTTGTTGCCAGCTAACTAGTGATAACATAAAACCTTCACTGCCCATAGGGTGGAGCTAAAGTCAGCATACATTGCTCTCTCCCACCCCTAACCCTACTTCCCTCTGGGAAGTACTGGATATGTTTGGTTTGTTGCTAGCTAACATATACTGTTTGAACATTTAGAAATGAGGTTCTCTTTCCTATACTCTGACACAATGCCGGAAAAAGGCCAAAAACAAAATAAAACAAGAAATACAGAACAAAAAGACACAAGCATTTAAAACAAAAACTTATTTGGCATGTCCGAAAATAAGGTACGCATTCATTTTCAGGAAATAACTGTGGTTGATATTCTTTCATTCTTTTCTAAATAAAATTCAACGGCAAATTTTACTTAATTTGTGTGCCCAATTCTTATGGGAACGTAAATCTGGGGCAGAGGGAGTGCTACCTTTACAACCATCAGAAAAAAATTAATGTTCATTTCTCAAACATGTGAACGAGAAAAGGACAACACACCTACTTCTATACTCAACTAGTACTCAGTGCCAGTGAATGTCCTTTTATACTCTATCCGTCCATTAATTTTATTCCCACTTGACATTTCACGGTCTCCAAAACAACATTTTGGCCATTAATATCTTTATGTGTGTGTGTGTGTGTGTGTATACATACATACATACACACACACTACATCTGTCTTAGTGTATACATCGAGTTTCATTTTTTTGAAAAAGAGCAATGTAAATTGGTATAAAAATTATTTCATTAGATTTAACTTGTTGAGAATTTTCAAAATTTTATTTAGTTGTATTAATATGTAATACAATGAGTAATTGGATGAATACAATGAAACGGAGGGAATATATAAAATTACACGAAGTAATATTTTAAAAATTTTGTTTCAAAATGAATATATTGATATTAAATTTATATGATAATTCAATGTATTTTTTTCATAATTTGCGGTCAATGTTTAAAGAGTTTGACCAAGAATGTCAAGCTGGGAAGAAATTTTTTTGGCAAAGGGAGTACATCAATCTGGTTGTGTGTGAAAAAATGAATTGTTTGTATTTAAGACGTAATATAAGCAGTTATTTTAAACAAAGACTATTAAAAAGAACATGAAGAGTAACCTTGCCTTGAGAAGTTCATAAATGTAATATCGAATGTCAAAGTCAGAGAGAGTTGGGTAAAGCACTTTAAAATCTGTGTTATTCACATATTCAAAGACTAGGCTTGGAGTCTTTGATTGCTGATCTCTGACAATATCAAGCAACTTCACAATATTTGGTCCGCCACATAGATTCTGAAGAATCTTAACTTCCCTCTTAATCTGCAATTAAGAGCCATTAATCAAATGAGTATTCCACTAATTGGGTGAATGAATGTACTCTCTTAGTGAGTAATAAGAAATCCCCATTCAATAGAAAATAACAATGAAGAGGCATCCTGAATAATCGACAACATCAAGATCCCTGCCAATCGCCACCACCTAAATCCGAAGTCCAAACTAAGTTAGGGTCAGTGGTATAAAAATTTAAAGGGCAATTGGTTGTTGTTATGGGACGCTTGCAGACCACTTTTCGGCGGGGGGAGCCACTGAAGAGAAGAGAGACACGAAGAAGGATGAAAAAAACCTTGTGTATTCTTTATTCCATGATAATCCATAAGAGATTAAGATTGACATCTTATATATAGGCAGACATTCCTAAACTTAAAAGGAAACCTAATAATAGTCTTACCAAATAAGTAGCAACTAAATAGAAGTGTCCTAACCAATAATTCATTGTGAACAAAATAGGGAACTGAATAATAATGGGTAAGTACAAGTAATTCTAAAAGGAAGCTTACAATAATTAAAATTATAAGAAACTAGGACTACATACTAGTAAAATCCCACAAAGTGAGGTTTCGGGGTGCGGTGGTGTGCGAATCAGTCCTCACTTCCACTTTTGGAAGTGAGAATTGATCCGCACAACACCGCACCGTGACACCCCACTTTGTGTGATTCTACTAGTATATTATCCTAGTTTCTTATAATTATAATTATTGATTCCATTGGATTCCAAGGTGTCTCCACACTTCAAACCTATCATTAAGTGTCTCGTCTCATTAATCAGAATAATGTCATTTGCAAACAACATGCACAAGGTACCTCCCAATGAATTTGCCGCGTCTCCCTATGAATGTACTGCAGAATATCCATCACCAAAGCAAACAAGAAAGGAATAAGGGCAAAACTCATGTAACCCTATCTCCACCGAGAAGTGGCCACAATCTCCTTCTAATGACCTCATTTTGGCCATTTCCCCGTTATACATGTACTTGACAGCACGGATGTAAGAAACAGGTAACCCACAGTACTTGAGGCACCTCCACAAGATCTACCAAAGAACGAGGTGTACGCCTTCACTAAGTCAATAAACATCACGGGTAGATCCTTTGTGCCCCTCTGTCCCTTCAAAAGGTGAATGGAACCAAAGATTGTCGACCTGAAACCAAATTGATTCTCGAAAATATGCACCTCTTGTTTCAACCTAGTCTCAATAATAAGTTCGAGACCTTCATGGTGTGACTGAGTAGTTTGATGTCGCTATAACTATTGCAACTTTGGATATCATCTTAAAGTCACAAACACAGCTTAAGCTTAAGGCATAAGCTAAATTCGACAGAAAAGAAGCATGCACCTTCTCCACTTCTTGTCACTAAGGCTTAAACGAGAAAATGTGCAAAGGTGGTCAAGCGGGGTAACCTTTTAAACTTCGTTCGGCTTCAGCGAGCCTAGTCGCATGCTCTTGCATCCTGCCCCTTCTTTTTGTTGTCATTTTCCTTCCTAAACCCAAAGTCCTAGAATTCCTTCTTCCATTCCACACAACCATCTCCATCCACAACCTTCACTAACACGTCCCACCACAGTTCCCAAAAGTCGGGTAAGCACTCCACAGCCTGTCACCACCCCCTAAGTGCTTCCATATCCCTGCTCTATTTTCTTTCTTCCTACAACAATCTTTTTTATCTCTAAGTCCCCCTTTAACCACTATTTTTTCTTCCAAAGTTCTGACAAGCTACATTAGTGTTATACCCCTGGATGGCTCCACCAAAACCTCAAACCATCCCTAAACATCCAAAATGCCTTTTCTTTTATTTCCTTTCAAATAAAGTCTTCCTCCACTTATTTTAAGTCCCTTGACCGAAAATAAGAAGACCACTTTTATTTTTTTTAACACACTTCCCTTCTTGTTCCTACATAGGGATGAAATTCCAGCCCCATTTTGGTTCCTAAAATCCAACCAAAATTACCATTTACAACAAATAAAAAAATCAGCAAAAAGAGTCTAAAGTTGAATTGTAAAAGTTTCTCCTTTTGTTGACTAATTTCACAACCAAACATGTAGTGTACCTTCCTCACCTTTTCCCCTACAAAAGGCCGAAATAATCTCTTCAAAACAAGCCAAAGAATATCCTCCAAATTCATCCAATATCTCCTTGTGATTTTATTCACTAGAGGCCGAACAAACCAGCCCCATTTTTAGCCAAATAACATCCCACCAAGCCCCACAATGTTTCCCACTTATTTGTGCTACATATNTAGGTTCTAGATATTTAATTAAGTGTGTCATATCTTGATTGAATTCTAGATTCAAACCCCAAGTTAAGATAAGAGTGTGTCATATCTCTTAACACCAACTTGGTCTATCCCCTCCTATTTTATTCCCTCATTTCGTGCCTCCCCATATTCTCTTCCTAAACCTCTTCTTTTTCTTCATAAAAAAAACACCAAAAGAACTCCCCTTTTGCCCCATAATATTTCGGCCACCCCATTTCCCCCTCACCTCCCCATAACTCCTTCTCTAAAATAGCAACGTGATAAGACCCCGGGTCTCGGGTATAACAATTAGTCCCCACCACTCACTCACTTTTAGTCTCTTTAATCTTTGTACCTAGAGATCACTTATCAGAGCTTTCTTTACATTTTGTATTCGTAAGATTTATATTTGGGATCGTGAAATCCCATAGGGGTCAAGGGGAATGTTTTGGTGCTAAAAATGATCGAGCATGAAAATATGGGATTAAAGTTGATTTGCTGAATGGAAAGAAAAGTTTTGAAATAACACTGTAACATGGGTAAAGAAATTAAAACACCATCACGAAGGAACACATAAATCGGTTGCTCCATGCCTAAAAATTACTCCCTCCGTCCCATATCTTTCTTCTCACTTTCCTTTTTGAGCCGTCCCACTTGATTCTTCTTGTTTCCTTATTTGGTAAATAAATATTACCAAAAAGACTAATATACCCTTTATTCTCTTTTTCTTTGTTCTTCTCACTCTCACCCACCACAACTCTTCATTTTTTTCTAAATTGTGCCAGCCCCCCCCCGTCCCCCAAGACACACACACATCCACACACTATTTTTCTTTCTTCTTCTCTTCACCACCTTGTTCTTATTCTTATTGACCATTCGTTTCTTTCTTTTTCTACTAACACCCCTTCTCTCTTCCATCCTCTTCTTCTAAGGCGACAATGAAGCTTCCAGATCTGGAACTCGTCCATCCCTCCTTTAAAAAAGGTTTCAGATCCGGATAGCGACGAGGGGGAAAATGCAAGGGAGACTGCGGCGCGGCGGTGACTAGCAAAGCGGGCAACAGTGTAGAGCAAAAACTTTAGACTTGATTTTTGGTTTCTTCGTCATCTTCTTCTCTTCGTGTTTTCAACATTTTTTCAATTTCATTGAAGAAGAGAAAGATTTGTATCGTAATGGAGGGTAGGGGTTGATGATGAAGAGATCTAATTTTTAATTTCTTGATTTTGTAGATCTTAAACTTAAATTGCTTAATTTTTCAAACATGATTCTCTTGAATTTCAAGATTTGTAATGTGGAGGGGTCACGAAGAAAGAAAAAAAAAGAAAGGAAATGTGACTCACGAATCAGACAGAGAAGAGGAAGGAAGGGGTGGGATGGGGAAGGGTAAAATGGGAAAGTCAACACTATTTTCACTTAGCATTAAAAACCGCACCAAGTCAATATGGGAAGTTTCAACTTGGACGGAGGGAGTATTAATTTATTAAAAGTGTGAAAGAGTGTGGGAAGATGATAACATACATAGAGCACTATCCTAAATTAGTAGCTTTGTGTTGCACCTCTTCAATATTGCACTTCTTCATCATTAACCATGTTCCTTGAAAAAGGTCATGGCTAATGAAACAAAGGTTGTTATAATTGTGCTCAACCTCTTCATCCACAGTAGGATTCATGACATGCCTAGTAATGGCTTCTAGGGCAATCCAATAATTTCTTGAAGATGTAGAGTTAGTCTGTGATTTTGCTGGGTGTTTTGTGCTTTCCCCAACCTTTTTTGCTTGTCTTGTTGACAAGGAGAGAGTACACGAAGTAGAATCCCCACATTTATCAATAACCACTTTGTCCCCCGTTGAGTCACAAAAACCGTGCACGGATTCAAGTGGAGAAAATTTTCATCCTTGCGTGCTCCCAAGTCCCAAGTATGCATCAACAAAAGCTGTTTAATTTAGGTGTAATTTGGCATAGTTGAATTCCACATGAAATCTGCCATTGATTCAGTGTGGTTAAGGATGCGTAAATTCTTGAAAAAACTTCTCCAAAGATAGACCAAATGATGTCCGTTGATTTCTGCATATGCATTGCAAGTAGGGATGCCACCTCTCCATCATTTGTTAACACGACATGCCATTGGAAGTAGGGGTCATCAAGATTCATTGAATGCATGGTTATCATAGACGCTTATAGGGTTCCATCTAGCAAAAAGTAGCACTTAGCCTTTGAGAAGCGGGTTTCAGTGATTTTGCTAGATTATTTTGGGAAATCCATCTTTGTGAACTGTGATGGCGTCCTATAAAACACGTATTTTTCAAACAAATGTTGTTTCCCGTCCCTAAAATGTCCCTAGTCGAGTACTTAGGGATGTCCTGACACCCAAACCCTTTATAAATTTTAGAAGTTGGCACTTACTTTCTTCCGACCCCATCCCCGTTAAAGTACTTGTCCCCGCCTTGGTGCAACTTAGATGGCAGCCAATCTGGGTTCCTCCCTAGTTATTCTACATAGACAGAGTCCAAAAGTCCAGCCCTAATGCAAGAAGTTCAACATGAAAAGTCCATGTGCATGATCTAGAGTTCTTCATGAAAACCAGAGACTGTACGTCTCTTGTTCTCCCCATCATACACAACTCCCCTTCCAAAGACTAGATTCTTTCCTCAAAAGATTCTTGATTGTTCTTGGCCTCTGGTTTGCTCATCTTTGAAACAGCGAAGTAGAAACAATAACCCAATCCATTGACGGAAAACTCTAGTACCACTGGTAGACCAGAGCTACAATGGTAGTAACGTGCAGAGAAAATCTTGGGAAAAAACATGAGTTGGGAAAGAAGAAGAAGATAGGTAGAAGAAGTTCAGAACAAAGAGAATTTGAGAGACGAAAGAATTCAGTTATCTTAATAATGTTCTAAAGCTGAATTATACAATTAGACTAGCTAGTATTTATAGTCATAGGTAGGACACACAAGATGGATTAACTAACATGCTCGACTAACTACTAAAAATATCAGGGACTTAGGGAATTTAATATTATAACAGAATGTCATTGAATTTAACGTGGGTATGGGTCGACCCCATTTTTGCATTGATGCATTATGTTAACCGTTATGGTGTAGGTTTTAGCCCATCTATGCATGAACAGGAGCGGCTTAAATGGATTTTGGAAATGGAGTCTATAACTTAATTGTATTGTCTCCTTTCAGGTCTTCCTGACTAACTCGTACTCATAATCATCCCACCATGCAACCAGTGTAAAACTGCATGAAATCATGGTGTCTCTACTAACAACACACTTAACCGACAAAAGGACAATCTGTCATATAAAGCACCTGATAGAGAGTAGAAATTACATGATATGATTTTCAAACATCTTTCCCTTACATAAAAGAGATCAAATGAAAAGAAAAAAACAAGCAAATGTGTTTAGTTATTGGACAAGAAATCAAAGCCAAGTAATCAGAAAATGATAGGAAAAACCCAAACCTTTTTCTTCTTCACTGGCTTAAGTATTTTGATAACACACTTCACATTATTTGTAGAGTACACTCCTTCAAACACCTCGCTGTACTTTCCTCTTCCAACCTTCCTAATTACCTCGTAATCATCCTGCTCCCTGCGGTTAACATGCAAGAAATAAACACTATAGCAAGCTCGACATGAAAGCAGAAATGGAAGCATACAAAATTTCAAACAATTACCCCCATTGAATGGTCAAGGACTCGTAATCCCAGTACTCCTTAGGTCGAATTACATTGACATCCGCATAAACTTGGGCCTTCGAGGGGGCGCCAGGAAGGCGAATAGCTTTTCCAAACTTCTGATCCAGGGTCTCCGACAAGTTCTTCTGCTGCCGGAGGCGTTGAGATGAGTACTGCCGCTGTGACGGTAAAGACAGATTTGGAGGATTCTGGTTGCGGCGCTGCTGCGTAACAGAAAGAGGCAAACCTAGCGGTAGAAGGCGGTGGAAAGTGAATGGAAGCGGCGCCGCCGCCGCCTGTTGGGAAAGGAGGATGCGATTGCGATATAAGGAAATGATGGAGGGTAAGGGCCTTGCGGCCATTAACAGAGAAAAAACAGTCTGCACAAACCCTTCTCTCACTAGTTGCGTCTTCAACCAACTTTATTTTCCTGTCAATGTTCGGCCTAGATTGTTTTTTTGGGTGATATCTCAAATTATGTCTAATTTATGACCTAAATTATATTATGCATCAGCTTGTGCCCAAATTTAGATATAACTAAGAAATTATCTATGGTATTGATTTTAATTTACATGAGAATGAACATTAAATTATTTGAGAATGGGTACTGTTTTGTTTCAGAATGAACATTAGATGAGTATTTTAAATATATTGAATCAATGTGTAAAAATGAGTACTGCATTATTTTAGAATGAGTACCACGCTAATTATATTATGCGAGAATGAGTACTGCTCTACTTCAGAATGAATACTACTAGGATGTACCGTACATCCAGTTGTACCATATACCTTCTCAATTTATGATCAAATAATATCACTATTTGATTAAAACGTCAAACCAGGAAGAATTTTTAGGATTGAAAGGAGTATTTTATATTAATGAAAATAATTTAATTTGTATTATTTCGCTTTTCCATTTAATTTTTAACGTGATTATGCATATATGGTATTATTTCACCCTTTCTATTTTTTTTATTTCTATTATACTTATTACTATTAAAAGTTAATATTGATTTTCTAGCAAATACTTAAATAGTATGGTAATACTAATATCTTCAAAAAAAGTAAAAGGATAGTTAATGGCCTTGTTTGGATATTGGTTATCAGCTAATGTGTTGGCTGTTTGTGTCAGTTGTTTTGGCTATTTAATTTAACTGGTTTGACAAACTAAATGTATTGGCCGGTCATTGGAAATATTTGGTAAAATTAGCTGTTTGAAAATAGTTGTTTTGATATATATATATATATATATATATATATATATACATACATATATATATATATAGTTGGTGATAAAGTCATTAGTTGTTTGAAAATAGTTGTTTGGCTTTTTTGATCAAACTGCTAAATGCAAAAGTCATTCATCAAATAATAGTTTTGGATGTTCGATTAGTTAAATTAGTCAAAGTGAGTCAAATAAGCCAAAATCCATCTGAAAAGAAGCTTTCCAAACATAGTCAATGGGTTCTTATATACTCTATACGGTGTAAAATTTTAAAATTTATATTTAAATTAGTTGATTAAAATCATGGGATAATAGAAAAAAATAAAATGTTGCATATTACTTGTGATGTAATAAACCACTGAGTACGCCGATTGTGAGGTCGGGTGAGTTGAGTAAGCAAGGAAAAGGAAATGGGGAGAGAGAGTGCAAGAGTAAGAGTATTATTAGCCTGAATTTTGTTCCGTTTACAAGTCCTAGCCCAAGGCTCTTTATAGCCTCAACCATTACAATGGTAATAACGTGATCGACACTTGTTTGTCGTTTAGACATTGTCGTTGTCTCTCGTGTTCTATAGCTAGGGGTGTTCATCGGTCTAGAACCGGACCGGACCGAAGACCGATTTGTAAGAAAGTTTGGACCGAAGACCGGACCGATTAGGAATTGGTTTTGGACCGATCCGGACCGATATGTATTGGACCGAACCTAAATGGACCAAATAGACCGAAAATAACAAATCCCACAATAAACTTTGCAAGAAACCCAACATCCTTATCCATTCGTAAAACAAAAATGAATCCCAAATAGAAGAAAGGAGCTGAATTCAATTCAAAAACAAATCTGAAATTCAAATCTCAAAAACAAAACCAAAGCCAACATCATAATTGCTATTCCTAAAAACATTACCAAGCCAAGACCAAAGCCATCGCAAAATCTAAACCTGGAAGGAGGCGTCACGATTAAGGCTTAAAGTCAAGCCTTCCCCTTCTTGCTTGTTTTTGTGCAGCTCGTTGGCGGTGGCGTGCGGTATCACAGAAGCTGCTGGGGGCATAGAATCGAAGATGATGAACATAGGAGAAGAACATGGAGTGAAGAATCGGAGATGGTGGAAAAGTATGAACGTGAATCTTGAGGGAAATACTTGAATCCAAAGATTAGGGAAGAAATAGGGCTGGAGATTTTTTGATGAATGCCTAGATCAATGGCGATAAGTCACAGTCCCCTCACATTAATACAAGACTACGGAGTACAGAGTGTTGAGAAACGAGGCTTGGATAACGCAGCGGAAAACAAAAATTTATAGTCCAAAACTCGATTCCACCCAAGAACAACTTACGTAAATTACTAGCTATAGTAAGAAATTTACCTTAACGGTGAAAACGGAGAACGGAGGAACGGTCGGGGATGGTTTTGAGGAGATGAACGTAGCGCCAAACGTATGAAGCCTCCAACGTATCCACACGAACTTGCTCCGGAGTCCAAGATTAAACTTGTGCTAGCAAGTTTAATATAGGATAGTAAAAACTATAATAATACTACTTTGGGAGTAATAAATATATAGTAAAATATTTATCTTATAAATATTTGTTTATAATATTTTGTGTATATTTCTAACACTTTAGAAAAATAACTTGTAACACAAAATAATAATTTTCTCCTCTCTCTCTATGTGGCCGAAAATTACACTTATAAAATGGGGAGGGATACTCACATTATATAATACAATGTATTAAGAAAATGCTAGGAAATTGCTCAGGGACAAAAACAAAATGAGATTAGTGCAATGTCCCCAACCAACACAACAAGACAAGTATACTTTTGTTAATCAAATATTTGATTATAAAATCAAATATATCATTAGGTAGAAAATCAATTTATGTCTTGTATTTTCCCTTTGATATTTTCGGCCATAGCATGTTAAAATACATCACATTTTATTTTTACATCAATAATTATCATATAATTAAAATGATGAAAATAAAAGTTATATATATATATATATATATATATATATATATATATATATATCGGCGCTACATATATATATATAATAAAATTTGTTTTGTCAAAATATATAATTAAAATGACACAAACAAAATATAATTTTAAAATACATATGTATTTTTCGAAATACATATATATATATAAAATTATCACAACTATATATATTTAATATTACTCCCACTAGTGTAGTATACTACTCCCTTACAAGTCCTAAGTGTGTGACCCTTTAGGTATCCATAACACTGACAATGATATTAATATAAATTAATACCATAGATAATAAGCGGTATCTAGCAACACATTGATATCCCTAGATTATGAAAAAGACGTTCATCTCATCAATACCTTCTACGACACAAGACGTTCTATAACTATTATCCTTCTGCCCTATATGTCATGATTTAACACAAGGCATGGGATGTGTATCCTTGTATAGTTAAATCAGCTGTTACTGAATCTCAAGTAGACTGGCAGGGATCAGATATTTATCAGTCTCTAGATAGCGACATATCTGGGCATGGCCATGCACTTTCCCAAGTCCTACTATTCAGTGGGCCCATTGACATTATACTTCTATACAGTAGAAGGGACAGATCCTGTATCTGTTATTCACATCTCTAAATATGCTTAGCGGCATACCCAACGCATAACTGTACGTCTACCANTATTTCAGATAGCATTAGTTATGAATCAAAGCATACGGCCCCACATATAAGAGAATGTAATAACTTCAAGTCTGAGGATAGTTATAGCAAGGTCGATTTGAGAATACTGATAAACACATTACTGTAGATCCATGCAGTATTCTCAAGATGGGTCAATCCAGTCACATATTATCAATATAATATGCACCTACGTACAGATTAAGATATCACAATACCTATAGTCTATGAGACGCAACTATCTCATCTCGTACGTACTAGTCTTGATATGTTATGACGTCCGTGTTATCATAAAGTGCGACTAGGGATAGTCTAGACATAGCCTTCGTCAAGAAGTACCAGTCTCATAATCAGAACATCGTAGTTCTCATCTATGTTACTGAAGCGCTATCGTCTATGGACTGAATCTATGTTATGTTACACGAGATATAAAACATACTTCAAGGCCTTTCATTCATGATAAAGTGTACAGTTACATAGGTATTTGATTGCCGCTAGGGCACCTAAATACAACACAGAGTAACAATTTTATCCACCTCAATTTCCTCATCCTCGGATTCATCAGCCAACAATTCATTTTGATGAATTTTATTAGATTCATTAGGTTCGAATTCTAATAATTCATAGAGATTCCCAATTTCCTTAAGAATATCTTTCTTTTCATTATTGAAAATCTATTAGAATGGGGATTTAGAGAAGAATAAGAAAAATTTTAACAAAGATCACCTTCTTCATCTACTAAACCCTTCTTCTTAAGAAATTCATCAAAATCAAGGTTAGTGTATCTTTTTAATTCTATTTGCCCAATTAAATTTCTTATAATGCGATCCATGTCATTTTTTATCGATTCTAATTCATTACTAATCGCATCAAAAATTATTAATAGGACAAAGTGAGGAACAAGGAGAGGAATAGTTTTCTTGATAATCAAAGTTATTGTAATTATCCTCCTGCTCATTATTATTTTCATTGAAAAATCTAGGATTATTATTACAATAATTTTGATTATCATAAAAATCACAATAATTATTTTGATAATTTGGTAAATAATCAAAGTTATTAAAATTATTAACATTCCTCCTATGATCCTAATGATCGTAAGAACAATAATTATCGTTCATAGGAGGATTGTTATACCAATTATTTTCATAACATCGATCATTACCAAAATTATCTTGAGAATTTTGCGAAAAATCAAGATTACCATTATCATAATTATTCCGACCAATAAATTGATAATCATTTTCAGTTATAGGTGGATTTTCAAAAAAACTATTTTCATAATGGTAATTTTCATTATAATCATTAAAAAAATTATTTTCACAATAAGGGTATGGCAGGCGATCATTAATATGAGAATTATAATAATTATTAAAACGATTCATAAAAATGTAACTAAGGAAAAAACAAATAACAAGAAATAAAATGAGTAGACAACAAATTTTCCCATGAAAATATAAAAACTAACTAAACTGTGTCACTCCTCAGCAACGGCGCCATTTGACGAACTGCGTATAGCGGTAAGTCAACAAGTAACCGAGTTAGACTCGGGTCGTTCTCTCCAGGAGTGACGAAGGGAATAGTGAGTTTTATTATTTATCACAGGCTAATTTTAGTCTAATAATATACTAAAAGAGAAGCGAAATTAAGAGTTCAATGTAGTTAAAATAATAAACCAAACAATCTCAAGAGTTAGGATTGGAACTCGGACTCATCACAATTTAACTCATCTTTTAATTGGCAATTAGATTAATGGAATGTATAGCACTTATGTCTAACATATCTACTATTTCTAGGTCTCAATATAGAACATAAAATGCTAATCTTATATTTAATACATCTCCTATTTCTAGGTCTCAGTACTAATTACAAGATTATTATATTTCGAGTACATCTCCTATTTCTAGGTCTCAGAACTGTGCTAGAAAATGCTCGGCTAAAATAATTCTAAATCCTCATAGACAAGGTAAGAACTGTTTTCCAATTACTTAATTAATAAAATGTTTAGTATTATTAATTAGTTAAACCCATTCCAAACGGTTATTTCTAACCCTTCCTATTTCTAGGTGTTCGGAACATGTGGCTTAATTAATCTTATTACCTCATAGACAAGATAAAAGATTAATTTCCAAGAATTAATTAATAATAAAAACAATTTTATTAATTAATAAAGACTAATTTATTTTCTAACAATTAATCCAAGAGAAATTTACCTAAGTAGGACTAAAACATAATGACTTTCCTAATATAGGACCATATGTTTTTATTTCCCAATGTAGGACCTTTGGTCATTATCAAGTAGTCATTATTCAACTAAATGTCCATCATTACTAGACATTATTTCTTCCACTAGGTCATTATTAAGTCCTATCTAGGGAATAAAAATGTTTAAGTCCTACATTAGGAAAGTCATTATGTTTTAGTTCTATTTAGTACAAATTTCACTTAATCCAATTACTAATAAATAGATGAAATTAAATTGATTAAATCTTTTATTCCAAATCCTAACCCATATATATTTACCAATTCATAATCTCAAACAAAACATCCAACATCATCATAATAACAAATAAAATTCTCAAAGATATATCAATCAACAAAATGATATTTTATTGAAGAAAGGTTCAATAAAGATTACAATAAAAAAGGAAACGAGAAACTTACAGTGTTTCACGACTCATGAATTAGCTCTTGACAAATAAATTTAATCACACAATTTTAATACAAATTTTGGAGAATGAAAGAAGGGAATTTCACCCCAAAAATGGAGGAAAACGGAAGGAACGAAGCTTGGGAAAGGGAAGGAACCGTGCGGCTTTTATAGGGGGAGGAAGACCGACACGCGGGCAGACCGGCGGCCGCCAGCCAGCCCGCCATCGCCACTGCAGGATCTTCTAGAAGAATCTTTGCGCTGGCTGCCGTCGACAGGCGGGCAGGTAGGCTGCCGCCTGCCAGCCTGCCGGCGCTCTCCATCACCGTCGGTTCGTACTCTCGGCGTCGCCGCAACTCTGACCGGCGACAAGGTAGGCCGCCACCTGCCAGGCCGCCTACTGTGCTGCTCCGGTCCATCGATGCTATCCTACTTAAAATTTTGTTCTAAACACTTTTTCCTTCTGCACTGACTTCTAATTCCGCACCGTTTGTGAGATAGAATTATTTTTCTATTAAAAATTTACTCTTTTTTACTCCATTCTTGGCTCAAATTTTACATATTAATTTAAAGACATTCTTTTTATGAACAATTTATCAAAACATATGTTTTTGATGAAAAGAATAAATAATTTATTGTTTTGATAACAAAAATGATACAAGAACGAATTAAATATGACTAGAAAGATAAGTATGAAACAGACTTATCAGCCAGCTTCCTCCAAGTCTTTCCCTCCAGAGCAGTGCGTGACAGACCCGAGCACTCAACCTGAGGGGTTGGTCCCTGAGCGATTGTGATAATATTCGCAATATTTTCCCACCGTGGCCTCTGCGTGGGTCTCCATTTGGGGGAGCGGAGAAAGAACCAGCTCTCGACACACTCCTTCAGGCGCCCTATGGAGTAGTCCCTGGCTGCCGGTGCCTTGGGGCTGTTAGTGTAATCCTTCCTCTTCTCTCTCCACTTCAATGCCTCCCCCGACTCGGTATGTGCCCGCTTGGCCAACACGGGCCCAACGGGAGCGAGGGACATCGTCAAACTCCATCGATGCCTAGGTTTTATCTTACACCAAGGTTTCTTAGTACGTCAGAGGTGGATTCTTGCAGAGTTCCTTCTGCACCTCACCTCAGGGGAGGGCCACTTGGAACATGGCTACAATAGCTTGGTCATCCGCCCCATGGACATCACATGATTCCTTGTCCCACTAGACTATGAAGTCACACACTTTGTCTCCTCGACGAATGTAGATGTTGGAAGGTGGGACTAAGGCAGCCTCTGCCTTCAGCTGGTCGCGAAGTGAGTTAAGAATTTCTCCACCAATGTCTCCCAGTCTTCGATGGTTCCCTTTGGTAGGCGGTTGAACTAATCGCACACCAAGCCCTCCACCATGGTGCGAGTCGCCATCATATCGTTCCCATGGAAGTGTAGAACCGATAACTTCTTATGTGTAATTATAAACTTTCCAGTTACTATTACGGGATCTCAATAACTTATGTTTGCAAAATTTTATCAATCAATTGATAAAATAAAATATTCTTGTCACATTTTATTTTGTAAAACTTTTGATATAATTTTGTTGGTCACAAATTTTGAACAATATAATTTGTACTTTTTTATAATATGCTAATTTTAAAAAAAAATATTTTTAAAAATTAAAATTTTATACATTATTTAAATTGAAAAATTTATTCTTAGACCCATAAGAAAAGAAGAGATCTTCCACAAATAGGAAACAGAATCTTCGATCGATTTACTGAAAAAAGGGAGGTCATGGGCCCCGTCACGTGAGCGGGGACGCTCAGTCAAATCCACCGGAGCAAAGCGGGAAAGTTCGATTGCGCACCGCCCTCATCTCTAGGGTTTATATTCATCACAATCCACAGCCAGCGTCTCATTGCCGCCGGCAATGGAAGAAGTCAGGGCTACCGCCGCCTGGGTCGCCTCCCATTCCTCTCACGTCACTGTCGATTTCGCAGGTATTTTGACATTCTCTTTTTTGTTTGAAGTTTTTTAAAAAGGTTCCACATTATCCTAAAACGGACGAGCCCTTCAAAGCCTGAATGGATGTTGCTCTGTGGTATCTGAGTGGGTACAGGAATTGAGAAGGTGACAGAGACGATGAAGAATTCGATACCGAATGTGGAATGGGATTATGAAGGCATTCACTATCGCGACAACGGGCCCCTTACAGTTCAGTATTTGCTCGTTTTGGATGCTCTGAATTTCTGCTTTTGGCCAGGTATGATTTGTTTCTCCATGCAAGTTGTAACTCTGTAAGAGAGTCATTAGTCCCCCTTAGTGAAGTTTGAGTTGAAACAATTGATTATAGTAATGTTGTGAATGGAATAGTTGAATGAAAATAACTATTTGAATCATCTGTATAGCGTTTTAAATACTTTGTATATTTTTTCAAAAATAAAAAACAATGCTGTCTACTTGAAGTGTCATTTATCTTCATATTGCCAGCGAAAACAGTATTCCTGACTTTCTTGTTCTCCAGAGTCTAGACCAAACACCCAATCAATTCAGTTTTTTTTTTGGCAAAAAGAACACACCATCTCCAATGGTATTCAAAAAGGGAGTTGCAGAACTTGTAATGGAACCCCAATCTGAGTTACACACTTACTCTTAACACCTTGGAATATTGCCATTTACCTATATATACACTGTTACTCTCACAAGCAATAATATGATTTCATAATTATGGGCCATTGGGATCACTTTATTTTCACAATTAGTTTCACATAATTCAATTTAATATTAAAATAAAGGTTTATTTGTTACTCCCTCTGTCCTATAACTTTTTTCATCTTTGCCTTTTTGGTCTGCCCTATACTCCTATGTCTTTCTTACCCTTACTTTAAGGGTCATTTTGGGAATGGGAAAAGCACTTTTAGAAGTCATTTTCCTATTTTCCGGTGTTTGGCTGTTTTAGAAAAATGTAGTAAACAAAAAATGATTTACGTTTTTGGGAGGAAAATGTTTTTTTCCTGGTTGGATACATTTTCTATCCTTCTCCTACTTTGTAGATTGACACTCACCATGTTTTATCATGTATTAACAGCAAAAACTATTTATTTTGTTTTCCAAACTTTCGACCAAACAGTAGAAAATAAACTCATTTTCTAGGAGTCGTTTTCTAGAAATCATTTTCCAAAAGCCATTTTTCCATCTTCCCAAATGGAGCCTAAGTGGAAAGAGCATTCACCTTTTTTTATAAGTAAAAGACAACTTTACCTTTATTTTTGCACTATTATACTTTTTTACACTTCTCTTTAATGTAGTACACCACCAAGGACGAAATAAAAAGTCAAACATTTTTTCATCTTACATTAAAAAGCACGTCAAGTCAAAACGAGAAGAAAAATATGATGTATAGGTGTGTTTGATTGGAGTAAAATTTTGTAGACAGAAGTTAAAGATGTATTGATAGGCCCGCGAAAAGTGGCTGAGTGTGGGTCTTGAGAGTTCCATTGTTAAAGTTGCTATTAGTATAGTACAACAAGCAACTTATCAGGCTTAATCTTTGGAACTTTCTAAATGCCGGCATGACAAGTTTCTATCACAACAGATTCATATCCAAATTCCAATGGTTAAGCAATTGAAACTAAAAACTAAGTTCTAGCTTTATTATAAGCTTTAAGCATTTTAGACACAATGTTTCCATATACCCATAACGCCAAACAAGATTTCCAAAGTATGCTTTGATGCATTTCTGATTTAGATCTCTCGTCGAGCCCATGTTGTTGTTTGCTAGCTGTAATTTAAAGGAGCTGCCTAATTGGCTTTTCCTCTACACTTTAACTGTTCAGTCTTGATTTTCTGTGCTTGGTTCTATTGCATGGGTTATTGTTTGCAGTTTCTCTGACTTTTGCTGTTCTTTCATTGGCAGATAAGGATTTAAGCTATGATCACCTTGCATCAGGACTAAAAACAGCCCTCGAAAATGATCCTTCAGCATTCGATGCTGATCGTCTACAGAAGTACACTGGTAACTCAAGTTTTTCATCCCACCGTTTTGAATTCACCTTTCTTTTTTCCTTTCTTAAAACTCTTTTGGTGGGATGAAAACATAATTCCCTAGTCTGCTTTACATATATATTTTTTATGGATCTTATGAGATTTGAAAGGATAGAAATATTTGTAGATGAGTTTTTGGAATAGCTGTAAACCATTTGATGACACAATAATGGCCACTTTTTAACACTCTGTTAGATACTAGTTTTTTACTCCTAAAGGTCCTAATAAACTTATAGCACAGTTCAATTTTAACTGTACCCCTTAACTTAATATTGTTGTATCGTTCGTGCAAAATCGATTTATGCGATCATATATTTGCATCATATGCCTTTTTCAGGTCCTGAATTGAGGAAAATGCTGAAATGGCAGAAGCCATTACCCTTGGAGGATGAACGGATCCGCTTATTGCATGAGGTACTGCATTGGATATGGAAACACTGATCCGCACATTCTTTTTTGTTTTATGATGTTTCTTCATTTCGTTTATCTTCAGATCTCAACAGTGCTAAGATTGATAGGTTCTCATAGCATTTACACTCTAAATTAGCGGCCTCTCTTAGCTAACAGTTTCATTAACTCTAACACGGTTTAGGTTGGGTTAGAGCTTGAGAGACACTTTGATGGGAAGGCATCAAAACTTGTGGAATCTAGTGGGAAGTCTGCAGTAAAGCTTGTGTCTCTAATAACTAGCCACTTTCCTGGTACTTTTCACTTTCTCCTTTTATAAGATTTTCCTTATTTGGTGTCCCAGAGTGTACCTGGTGTGCCACTTTATTTTTTAAACGACATGCACATGTCACTCTCCAATGCTTCATAAGTAGTGTGGAGGGAATGCTAATTACATGTACAAATATAAAACCTGATTTTATTACTACAGAAGTTATAAATGTACATAACTAATTTTATCAAAGATAAATGTTACAGTATAAAAATAGCATTTGCATATGGCTTAAATAAGTACAGAGTAATAAAGTAGCATGCCTGGTCCAGACCGTTTTTGCTGGTAAGTGTGTATGTCATGTTCTATTTTGACTTATGCAGGGTTCCGTGATCACACGCTCTACAAAGGTCACCAAGTCTTCTTGTACAAAAGAGCCCAAATTTTTGTGGCAGATTTATGGGGTGCCTTTAAAGGCCAAGGATATGGAGAGTTCAGTGACATAGGATCAATTACCATTTTTGCTGACTACATTGTTCCGGCTGTTCTTCAACAGCTTGGGGTGTTGAAATATAGTTCTTCTCTGGCCAAATCTATCGAGACAAACACTGAAATTGGATCAGGCAGTGAAGAGGAGGTGGAACTGCGAGCTTGCTCTATCCATGCTGTCGAGAAAATGAGGGAGTTGATAAGTAACAAGTCTGGGAAGCAGGTTCGCTTTTGTCCCTCTGTTCTCTTATTACTATTATCATCATCTTCTCTAAGTTATCTGGCTGGTCAGACTGTTTTTAAGTCTTAGGGTCTGCTCGGTTAAACTTATTCTTTCAACTTATTACTTATTCTTATTAGAATCAGATCAGGAAAAAAACTTTAAATATAACTACAATTTTATCGGGCCAATTATGTTAGAAGAGATTTGAAATGATCAATCAGTTTTGTTTTTGAATTGAATTGGGTAAAATTTGGAGATGAAAATATGAAAGTTATATAAATGGCCAACTTTAGAAATGCATGTCCCTATTGTGACTACACTAAAAGTATCATTCATATACACTGGCCATGTTTGATATAAAAAAAGACCTCTTAAATGCATTGAATTTACTAATCTTTTATTGAAATTTTGGTTCTCCAGGTATTGAGTGTGGAGCTCGATCTGTGGTTATGGGCTTGTGGCATACAATGCCTGTCTCTTCAACACCATCGGACACTCTCAATATTTTATTGAGCCAACAATACAGCCCAAAGGTCACGTAACTCTTTCTTAAATCACTATAGCGTCTAAAAATTTTGGGATATTTTACATGTCTTTTCTTCTTGTCATGGATGCACTCTAACTTGTTCACATTTAGCCAATGATGCTTTGAAAGATATGCTTGGCCCATGGAACTTTGAATTATTATTGCATTAAATTGCATAAAACTCTTAATCACGCAATTTCTCCTTTTCTTGAACTTTGTGGAAAAACCAAATTAGAGCTTTATTTTGGGACGAAAAAAATATCTGTTTTTGAAACCACACAGTCAAAGAGCTAAAGATTCATGCACCTTTGCAAACAATGAAGTTTAAATCTCAATAGGTATGATTTTTTTTAAAAGGAGCGAAATTGGCGTGATTACTGTCACAGTCCTAGGGGTCGTTAGTGGTCAGGTCCCTCCTCACGCCGCATTACATATATAGCCCACCAAGTCGGATTCTTGTTTATTAGCGGTAGACGTGAGCTGGGCCAACAAGTCGGATTCTTGTTTATTAGCGGTAGACGTGAGCTGGGTTATGCACCCAAGTCTGATGACCCAACCATTTGCTTGTGGGCTTGGGCAAAAAAGTTATGCCTGAAGCTTTGGGCTTTTGACGAAACAAAAATTCTTAGTGGGCCAGGCTTTGGACAAGCCTCCCAAAGCTTGAGTCTGGCTCAAACCAGGTCCAAATTATTTATTTATATACAGAGTACTAGAGTAACTTCCAATTTCTTGTGTTCTCCTACTTTCGTTCTTAAGTATTTGTCCAGTTATGACTTATTTTTCCATCGCATAACGGCATAAATATCGAATACACAATTTTTTTATACTGTGAAAAAAAGAGTTTAATTTTGGACGTTGGGAGTATGACTATGAATAATGGCAAATCTTATGGTGGACCCAAGCTCCACCATGTACTTATATATGAGTAAATAAGTATTTACTTATTGCTTTAATAAGTATTTATTTTATTTTTTAATTAAAAAAAGTTTTTTTTATTTAAGAATATGTACAAAAATGGTATGCGCCCAAGTTGCAACATAAAAGCACTCATGAATAATACCTTTTGTATCTCAAAATTTTGCACCAAAGTTACACCATCCCTATTTTCACACCTCACAAACAAATTTTAATTTTGAAACAAACAAATTTGGATACATATAAATTATCTTTTTTTAAGAGAAATGTCATCTCTGAAATATAATAAAAAAATTTAACTTTGGTGTAAGATTCTCTCTCTGTCTCATAACTAAAAGGGTGTCAAGGGTGATGATAGCTACACCCGCAAAAATAGTAAATGCATACGTCAACTAAATACATCCCAGATTTATCATTATGTCATTATTCAAAAAAGTTATATAACTTTATTCTATTTAAAAAACATTATAAAAAATGTTTAAAACTATTCATCATTTTTTTCATTTTATTACTTTTCAAATAAAATAATATACATTTTCTTTTTAATTTAAATTATAAAACTTTGGTGCCTCTTCTTTTAATTTTTCGTTAATTAAAATAACTTTTATTGTTAATACATTGAATGATCATTTATTTTGTATAAAAATCTTCTACTCCCTCCGTCCTAAAACTTTCTTCCCAGAGCACTATTCCAACTTCACGGGAATTTATATTTATTTGCGTTTTTTCATGGCCTATATGATAAAATAAAATATTCTTGTCACCACTTGTTTTGTTGAACTTTTGATGTAGTTTTTAAATATGTATGTTTTATTTTTTATTTCTATACCAATATTTAAATAAAATAGATTAAAAAAACTTGGAATTTTTCTTCGTTTTGCGAACCGAGAAGAAAGTTTTAGGACGGAGGGAGTATTTTCTAAGTATTATACCAATATGTATTTCACCAATTTTTAATCTACATGGTTATTTTATCATTTTAAAAAGATGGTTGTATAAATTTTACTTAAAAAAGATGGCCAATTTCTTGCAATATTCTACTTTGTTTTTACAATCCAAAAAACAGAACCTAAAATAAATACGAAGTATTTTATTTGTTTGATGGAGGGAATATGGCCACAAGGTGTACTTCGCCTCTTCCCCTTTTCCCGTTCTTCCAACTCAATGTCACATCAGTTTTTATTTTTCTTTCTCTTTCTCTTCCCTTCTAGGAAAATATCTTCTCCTTTTTTCTCCTTAATTTTATTTTATTTTTTAACACTTTTTTTTAATTTAAATAATTAAACTAAAAACATAAAAAAGAATAAAAGTATATTCACATAGAGAAACAATAAAAAGAGAAACACAGAATTTTGTGAGTCACACAAAATTATAGATAAAAGTATACTCACATAGAGACAATAAAAAGAGAAAGAAAGTAAAAAAAGAATAGTATTAATCATTTTAAATAATATATGTAATTCATTAAAATATAATAATTATTTTAACTCCTAGTTTTTTACTCTTTCTATTTTTTTGACGCTTTCCATTTTTCCAACCTTTTCAATTTTCTTCCAACTCTATCTATTTTCTTCTAGCTTCTTTGGTTTTTGCAACTCCTTCAAGTTTTTTCTAACTCCTTTCAATTTTTTCAACTATTTCCAGTTTCTTTCAACCTATTCCAATTTTCTTCCAACTATTTCTGATTTCTTTCAATTCCTTCCAATTTTTTTTAGATTTTTCCAATTTTTTTGGACATCCTACTTTGTTTTTACAATCCAAACAAACAGGGCCTAAAACATCATACACTATCTGTCCCTAAGAGATTATCACAGTTTGAGTTTTTTGGTCAAACAGTGACACTCTTTGATCGCAAATTATGGAAAAAATACATTTAGTTATAATATAAATTTAGTAAAATTAGGTTTATCTTAAAATATAATTTTGAAATATCAAATGTTAAGAATATTTAATTATTTTAAATTATATTTAATTTATAAAAAAATACTACAATTTTAATTAAAAAATTCAAAATGGGGCAAACTTTAAAGAGACCGAGGGAGAATTTTAAATTTTAAATTGTTTGTGGGAGGAAATATCTTTTGTACCCCATTTGTACACCGCTGGTTTGCACCGACATTTTGTGTTGGTGTAAAACTAATTTTTGTTAACGCACCAACACTTGTGTCAGTGTAAACCATCAAAATGTTTGTCTATAACTTCGATGTATAAATGAGATACAATTTTTTGTGTAAGTGTAGCATGGTCCGTTTGGGAAACGCGTAATGCAAAGTGGGCCCATGTCTCCACAGTGCACACTACCAGAAGTGCTGACAAATGGTAGCGGTCCTGGTGGATCCACCGTCCTCGGCCTACCTTGCAACTCTGCGTGCATTTGGGTCATGCCGGCCCATAAATGGTCCGACTAGTATAACAGAAACGTGACATCCCGTTGCTCAGATTAGATCGGCCTTTAAGGATTTACGGACCCCACCACACCACCATTTATTTTCATTTTGTGCACCACCAAGGCGTGCGACTACAGTACACTCCCTTCTTCTCCAAGTCCCACCTATCTTTACTTTGTGTACAATTTAGAGCATGTTATTTAGGGCTTGAACTCTTAAGTTCCAGCTCCTTCCAGTTTTTCCAGTTTTTCCAATTCCTTCCAGTTCCTACCAGTTTCTTCTAATTCCTTCCATTTTCTTCCAACTTTTCTCATTTTCTTCAAATTCTTTCTACTCCTCAACCAATTATTCTAAAAATGTAATGTATTTCAATGTGATTATTATTATTATTATTATTATTATTATTACAACTGTGTTTATAAATTATTTTTTCATCTCACTATTTTTACGATTCACACTTATTATTTTTTTCTTCAACTTTTTAATATGAATAAGACATTTTTCGTATATTAGTCTACATGATAAAACAGGAAAACATCAATATGTTAAATTATACTAAACAATTATGAATAAAATAGTCACATTGAATGTTTAATTAATACTCCCTCCGTCCCTAAATAAAGTTCCTCTTTCGTTTTTTCTTTGTCCCTAAATAAACTTCTTTTTTCCCTAAAAAAACCCCTTTTACCCCATTACTTTTTCATACCCTACATATCACATCATACCTTTTTACTAATAATCTACCTATCACATCTTACTTTAACACATCACATCAAGGGTATTTTTGGAAAGTCAACACCAAAATATCCATCTCTTAAATCCTCAAAAAGTCAAAAATGGAACTTTATTTAGGGACAGAGGGAGTATAACTTTTTATAAGACATCTCATTTTCCCTTTATTACTTAAAAATTGCTCATTTTTCTAATTTTTATAAAAAAAATGTAAGTCAAAAGAGCTTAGAGAAAAAGACTAAAATATGAGTAATACATAAAAAATGTAAACAAAAAAGTTCTATGTCTTTATTCCAAAAATAGGAATTCAATGAAAATAAAATGTCAATCATGAAAAAAACAATAGGTTTGATTATGTGACATGTATGATATTTAAAACAAAATGTTTTAATATATAAATTATAATTACAAATATATTACTTATAATAAATACTGCATAAATAAATTGAGGTGCAATATAACTACACAGCCTTTTTAAAATTTAATATTTTTATATTTATGCTAACTTTATATTATAATTATTTTTTGTATTTAAAAAATAACAATACTTTTTTTATATCTTAAAGACATTCACTAAGATAACATGATGATGATGATGATTATGATGATGATTATGATGAGGATGATGATGATGATAATGATATTGATGATGATGATAATAATAATAATAATAATAATAATAATAATAATAATTTATAACAACAAGAATTTAAAATAAATATTTTTAAAGTTTTTTTTTAGATTTTCCAGTTTTTTCCAATTTCTTCCAATTTTTTCGAGTTTCTTCCAGTTGCTTTCATTTTTTTCCAGTAGTTTCCAGTTCCTTCCAGTTTTTTCTAGTTCCTTCCAGTTTCTTCTAGTTCCTTCCAATTTTTTCCAGTTTCTTCCAACATCCAGCTCTTTTTTTTACAGTCCTAAAGAATAGGTCCTTAGTGAACTAATACTTCATGTGGTTCGATAAATCTATATCGTTATCAGAGATGATTTTAAAACATATGTCGTTGCACTTAAATATCAACGTCAATGTCCACCTAAACAACAATACCCTTTAAATCTTTTGTCAATAGTCCCGCCACTCTTTATGGTTTTTGGAAATACGCACCGATACCTTTCATTGTTTTTTTATTTTTTTTCTTTTTTATTTTCTTTTT